GGGGTGAGCTCGCTATCCCGTGGTCTTGTCTGTTCATGGGGTTCGGCGATCTCCACCGCTGAAAAGGGGGAGGGTGAGAGGACGCTTTTGTGGGAGGGGTGGAGCTCGCTGCACAGTCCCGTGCGCCGTGGTGGTCAATTTAAGTGTCGTTGTTGGTTCTGCTTCAGGGGCCCTCCGCGCGAGCGGCCACACACCACTCGTGCACCGCGACAGCGACACACCCACAAGCCACATAGATGGGCCAACATCACATGACACACACACGTACTAGCTACAAGCTAGCGCGACGTACAGCTCTAGCGACGTCCAGCAGGCCGTCCTTGTCGCTGTCCGGGGGCGGCGCCGGCGACGCGGGGGTCGGGGACTAGCACTAGCCGCCTTCCACAAGGGCCCTGAGGTGCTTTTTACAGTCCGGAAAGTGAGCCCGTCCCCGGGTCTGCCCTGCTCTCGTCTGCGCCTGGTCTGCGCTAGCTTCTGTTTCGTCATCACTGGTGTCTCTCCTCTTCTTTCTCCTTCTCGTTGTATGCTTTGCACATCGCGTCGATTCCTTTTCGCGTGAGCACCTGAAGCCCGCCCAGCAGCTGAGGCCGCTCCCTAAGTCGAAGGAGCATCATCAGTCTCACCCACTTCGCTCGCTGCCCCGTGTGCGTGTCTCCGCTCCCTCCCGCAGTCCCGCTTGAGCCTCAACGGTTGAGCCGCCGTCGCGGCCCCCTCGTTCGTCCCACTGGCTGTGTTGGCCTGTCCCCACACGTTACCTCCATTATCCCTCCTCCTCCTCGACTCCCCCAAGCGCTCAAGGCCGGCCGGCCCTCTCGTATGCTCTTGCGTCCTGTGGTCTTCGCCGCTTTTCGGACTTCGCGGGCCGAACCCAAAATAGCAATACGCATTTTAGTTTTTGATTTCTGTTTCCCCATTCCCGGATCCCTGCGTGTTCGTGCGTCCATGTGTTTACCCCGCAATCCGCATATCCGCGGCTACATCATGATACTACATTATATAACTCTACTGCTCGCACCGTACACGATCTCCTATCTCCCCCCCGCTCTCCCTCCCGCTCGTGCGGAGTGAGTCGAGGGCGCGGCGCCCCGCCAGAGACAAGAACCGCGACCGCGTCCGTAAAATTCGAGTGCCATCCCGCTCACCCCTGCGGGCGGTGTGTCATACCGAGTACTTGGCGTATCGGTTGGTGGACGAGTCGTCGGGCGCGGAGAAAACGGACTGCTCCTGCAGCACGCGCTTGAGCTCCTTACGCGCAGCCTTCATCGCCTCGTGCGTCTCCGCCTCGATGTGCAAGTAGAGCTTGCGCTCGCCGGGCGGCGCGTTGCGGCCGGGCGGGTAGTAGGTGCCCTTAGTGATGACTGCCGCCTTGGTCCACTCCTCGATGCCCTGGATCGTCTCGCGGCTCGTGACCTTGAACCGCGCCGTCTGCGGGTAGTCGTTGATCTCCAGCTCCGAGACGTGCCGCTGCGGCATCAGCGGCGCCATCAGCGTCGGCGCGGCGCTGGCGCCGGCCGCCCCGGGCAGCGCAAACTTGTTTGCCGCGAGCTGCGCCTTTGCTGTGGCGGCGGCGATCGCGCGCTGCGTCGCTTCGGGCAGGTTGGCCAGCCGCGGGTTCATGGGCGGCGGCAGCGGCGCGGCCGAAGGCGCTGCGGCTCCCGAGACGGACGCGGCGGCGGCGCCGGCGCCCGCCTTGGCGGCCGCCTTG